ACCCTTATGATCAAATTTTTATTAATACTTTTTTTCATGCCCACCCGAAGACACATAGGACCACGACTTAAAATCACATCATTTTTTTTTTCTTCTAAATAGTTGCCTTTTTATATTTTAATTGTAAGAGTTAGAATTTTTAGTTTAAGGATTTCAGTGAATTTTTTACTAATTGAATAAATATATGTAGAACTGTTCAATTTTTGGTTTTAAATTATTTTTCTTTATTAGTTTGATGTTTTATTTGCAACTATTAAAAATAATTTCTTTACATAGCTACTTGGTTTATGTATGATTCAATTGTCTCCTGGGTCTACACAACTCACTAATATACAAAAAGTCTATATACATAATGACAACCGGTGAGCATAAATAAGGATTTAAAGTAAAAGTTTTAGAGTGTCCACAGGTGGGCACTGATGTGAGTGATCACACCCGGTTATATACATTTTAGAGTTGTCAATGACAAGTTGCCAAAGAATTACTTTTAATCAATAATAAATACAATTTATTATAACTATTGATCGTATCATGGCGCAACACAGTAATAAGTCGGAAAATTCAGGAAATATGTTATCAAATTACCCAGTGGAAGAATGTTAATAAGAAATTAATAAGAAAATTTTTATTAAAAATTTCAGGGGAAGGGGTCGGTATATAATAGGCAAAAGAGGGAGATGATGTGAGTGATCACCCTGTTATAATATATTTTAGAGTTGTCAATGACAAGTTGTTAAAGAATTACTTTTAATAAATGATAGATACAATTTATTGTAATTATTGATCTTATCAGGCACATGATCACATGCTTTGTCAATTTCTAGTACATTTCAAGCTATGGCAATTTAACACGTTAAGCGCAACGCTGAGATCAGCTGTTAGACCCTTGAGATCAAACTTTTATTGGCACTTTTATTTAAACGGGTCTTTTTGGTTTACTTTTTAGTTTTCAATCATACTTTATTGTTTTTGTTTTATGTCCTCCGGTGGGCACGTAGGGCCACGACTTAAAATTACATTGTGGTACCACGGGCGAGCACAAGGACTTAAAAAGTAGTAGGCACGCGGGGCGCAACGTGTGAAAAATGGCGGTTTTATTTTTTTAAATCGAACAGGCTTGTTAAGTTTGGATATTGTTTGAAACATTTGCTGGAAGAAACGTAAGGATACCTATTTTCAATTTTGATTCCAAATTCAATAATTCTTGTTATTGTGTGGAAAACTGAGAATTCAACTCTTGAGCACTACCCACAAAACTATAATAATTAAGAATGGTACACAGAACAACTGAAGATTCTCAGATTAAAAATAAGATGATTAAACGAAATAATGGTCAAATAAAATATTAGTTTCCTGAAATACAGGGTGTTAAAAATGAAAATTCAAAAATTATTAATGGCTATAACTTTTTATCACTTCTCAGTATAATTTTACTAAATTCAGACTTCACCAGTGGCGTACAATACAGGTAAGTAACACTTTCAATCCCTTTAAATTTTACGCCACTGTCCAAAAACTTATTTGGACTATAGTATTAAATTTTTTGATATTTTTTAAATAAATCATGTTGAGAACTCATAAAGTGATTGATTTTCGAGATGTATACACTCAAAGGTGGATATTCATCATTTTCATTTTTTAATTTTGGAATTTTTTTTTATAAATTCTCAACAAGAGTTCATGATTTATTTAAGAAAACATGAAAAATTCAAAATTATAGTCCAAATAAGTTTTTGGAGAGTGGCGTAAAATTTAGAAGGAATGAAGTTGTTACTTATCCATGCCGTACGCCACTGGCAAAGTTTATTTAACTGGTTTTTTTGCTGAATGGTGTTTTTATGACACCAAAAACGTTTGCTCAGTGCAATTTTATAAAAAACAAATTAAAATTATTGAATAAAAAATACATTAAAATGAAGAATATCCACAGTTGAGTGTGAATATCTCGAATACCAATTAGTTTGAGTTCCTAACAAGAGTAAACGATTTATTTAAAAAACATCAAAAAATATAAAAGTATAGTTCAAATAAGTATTTGGACAGTGGTGTAAAATTCAAAGGGGATGAAAGTGTTACTTATCCGTGTTGTACGCCACTGGTAAAGTTTATTTAACTGTTTTGCTGATACGTGTATCTTATGACACCAACAATGTTTACCAAATTTAGTAAATTTATACTGAGAAATAAAAATAATTATAGCCATTAATTTTTGAATTTTAGACTTTAACACTCTGTATTTCGGAAACCAGTAATATTTCATCTAAGCATCTTTTGTTTAATCGTCTTAGGACCGATTCCACCGTTGTGTTAAACGAAGTTTAAAATGACATTTTTACATTAACAATGTCATTTTATTCTCCGTTTAACACACCGGTGGAATCGGTCCTTATTTGTAATTGGAGAATCTTCAGTTGTTCTGTGTAGCATTCTTAATAAGACACTCTTATATACCGGGTGTTCAAATTAAAGTGTTACAGTTAAATACCGCCGAAAATATGCATTTTAGAAAAAAAAGTTTCAGACAAAAGTTTTATAGTTTTTTGGGGGAAACATTTTGGCTAAATTCATTTTTTTATAGCTGACCATAATATGGCCATATCGAGATGAACTTTGTTTTTTTAAATGGGAATCCCATTTTTTTCTTACATATTCTTAAAGTACATAATTTTTTTATTGGACTTTTACTTTTTGAGTAACAGCTACTTGAAAATGTTGCTGCGCGAAAAAAAAGTTGGCCATAAAAAACGATTTTAACCAAAAGTTTTTCCCTACAAAACTATAAAACTTTCGTCTGAAACGTTTTTTTTTTATAAAAAGCGGTATATAGCTGTAACGCTTTAATTTAGAACACCCGGTATAACTATTCACAAATAAGATTTTTTGGAAATTTCTTGGAAATTATGTTTTAAATTGAAACTTCAAAAAGTTAGAGAGTTTTGTAAAGTATTTTTCCTTATTTAGTAATATGGAAGAATTTTTTTATTAATGTATCAAAAATTATACCTAATTATAAATTTATGAGACTTCTTTTTTCTTATTTTTTAACAAAATTATTATGTAAAATATTTAAAAAATCCAACATAAATTTATAATAATTATACATTCTAATAAATTAATATCCAATATATAAAATTGTTTCAAAATAACGAACGAAAAAATAACAAGATAAAACAATAATAAAAATAATTAAATAAAAAATTCTTCTATATTACTAAATAAGAAAAATATTTAATAAAACTCACTGAAGAAGGCCATCCAATTTGGGACCAAAACCTTAGAAGTCACATCAACTTTTTAAAGTTCAAATTTTGAAACTAATTCACGAAAAATTCCCAAAAATATTAATGGAAAGCTTTAACCCTCTAAGGACGGACGTCGCTTATATGCGACATATCCTAATCATGTAAAATAACCGAGCGTCGCTTATAAGCGACAGGGGTAAAACATTATCAGGATGCCCTGTTTAGTCTTACTAAAGTTTGCTATTTTGACAGCACTTATTATAGCCGAGCATCGTCCTTGGTCGTCATTTCCAAGCACATTGTATGGCCTGATGTCGCTTAAATGCGACCAACGCACGAATCTACGGAAACACTTAGGTAAAAACTGGATAAACCTGGCAAGGCCGTACGGCAACTAGTCACATGCTTTACAGAAGACAATGATCTCGAGCGTATAAGCGTCATTGGGTTATGTACAAGAATAAAAGTAAAAAATTGGCAACATCGCAATTAAGTAAAATTGTAAATTAGGTGTCGCGTATCAGCGACATTAGGTATATAGAAGTATGTAATATTAAAAAATTAATTCCGGCAGGCACGCGTGCATAGAAAAAACAATTCTGTCCTTAGAGGGTTAAGTAAAGAAATTGAATAACACAAATTACATTTCCAAATAAAATAATAAGATTCTATTCACATTCACATCATTATGCCTATCTAATTTTTTTTTTTCAATTGTGCCTAAAATACGGTCGACTTTTAGACTAGATTATAAAGGTCATTTGGGAAATTTCAAGAAACCATAATGCACCAAAACCAAACAACAGTATCAAATACTTGCACAGAACATTTTCGAGGATCAAATCTATATGTAAAGCAAAGAAACGAAGAAAAGTATTTTCAAGTGTGTAAATATGTTATTAGTTATTATTCGTCAAGCTGTTAAACCACCATTGGGACATTGTCAAAATTTTGAAAATATAAAAAAAGGTGATTAAAGAAGTACCGTAAAGTCGGGTGACTTTAGCCCAAATCAGTAAATAGTTATTTTTGTTCAAAAAAAATTATACGTCTTATTTTTAAAATAAAACTCACGCTGGTTGAACTGTAAGGTATTAAAACTACCCAAAACACTTTATTTAAAGACAATTGGACGCTTACGCTTTCTGTAGTATAAAAAATTGAACTCATTTCAAAATAATCGAAATTGGAAGGTGATAAAATTTGTATGCAACCAACAATACTGTTGTTTGTAATATTTTTTATTATCTTTACTGTAAACAATAAAAAAATATTTTTTTAATGATAAAATGTGTTTTCCTATCAACTGTGATGGGTGGCTCTAAACCAGTAAGTAATATTATAGAGAAAACAATGTAAAATGAAAGTCACCCTCTACTCTTTTTTATTTTTTATTTAAAAAATTAGACCATTTGGGATATTTTTGTTAAATAATTCTTAAAATATAACTGAAGACTAAATTATGGCGAAAATGCGAATTTTAATTCCAACTGCTTTTATTTAAAAATTGAAACAAGGTTTAAATTTTGTCAGTGAGTCAAAGTCACCCAACTTTACGGTATGTGATAAATTTCTGCTTCAAAAATCAACAGAGGCATCTTCATTGTACTCCTGACAAATGTTAAAAAGAAATTTAAAAAAAAAAATTAGATGATTTTGTTTCCTGGTTTAAAATTTTGATGTCCTGATGATGGCTTAACAGCCGAAAGCACTTGACAAACAACTAATAAAATATTTACACACTTGAAAATACTGCTTTTCGTTCCTTTTCTTTATCTATCAGTGTGTATAAACACTTACAACCTTTGAAAAAATTTATATGTAATTACAAAACCCAACATTCACTAATAAACGATAATTTTAATCACAAAATTTTCCTATAATTTAACAAAAAACTCTGGTCGACGCCGATTCCGTTCAAAAGAGACGCACGCGATACGCTTTTCGAAACGCTACGACCCCATTTAACACAATTATACACTTTCATTTATTCAGGAAGCAGTGTCATGTCGTTCAAGAACTTTCATGAGTTGTGATGGAGGTTTTGGTTCATGACGGGCCGACCCTCGAGTTTGCTGTAATCCAAATAGAATTCTTTCGCTACCTTCCGCCAGTTCTGCGCGTCGAAGAAGTAGTAAGTCCCTCTCTCGTAAGTCGATGTCTTTTCCATTAGTACCATGCCAGGCACCTGCGTGATCCAGACTTTCTCCTCCGTGTGGTACCTCCACTCCCGGCTGTATCTTCGCAAACAGATAAAACGAAACGTTACTCAAAATATGGAATAAATAATGCACACATATAAAAAGAACAAATTGAAATACATGTAAATATTAAAACTGCTGAATCTTTAGACTCTCTTATAATGTGGGAGAATATTATTTTGAAAAAATACCTACAATTTTGAAAAATTATAATAAACCAAGCGTACCCCAAGTTAAGGTCGATTCGACAGGAAAAAGTAAAGATAACGCCCTTTAAATCTCAAAATGTTACCTCTTTTGCGACCAGTTTTACATTACCTCCGACTTCAAACAAAGATCACTAATTCCAATTCAGATTATTTTTTAAAGTAATATATATTTATTTTCAATTCACTCCTTATATTATTTCAAGCCAGGGCGGCGGGCCGTAAAAAGTTTCACTTATTTGTTTTTAATAATTTTTATTAATTTTCTTTCATTTTTATTCATTTTTATACATTATTATTGTTTTTATTTATATTAATTTTTATTGTTTTTTATTTTTATTTGTATTAATTTTTAATTACGTTTATTTTTATTATTAATTTTTATGATGCTTTCATGCATTCCCCATTTCTCCCCTAAAATGTGAGTTTTTATGATTGTCTGAAGATGAAGTTATTATAAAACTTCGAAACTGGTCACAATAGAGATAATTGTAAAATTTAAAAGACGTTTCCTTCTTTTTTCGTATCAAACCCACTGCAGTTGTCATAGGTCATGTACAAATCTAGGTCATAATCATAATCAGTACCCGTTGTTTGCGTCGCTGCTAAATTTTGTTTTCTCAAATGTTGTTTACAATTCTAGAGTGTAATGAATTATTTTTTAGCAAGTTTCACAATCTTGGGTTGAGTAATATTGATTAAATCATATACAAAATCCCCAAAAGGGCTTTATTTATTGGTGTTTTAGTTTTGAAGTTGGTTAACCATCGAGTGTAAAATAATAATAAAATGAAATTAAATAAATTGGTACAATTCGTTTTTTGGACATCATATAGTCATGTCACTTTTAATGTGTACATGTATTTTAATTACATCATGTATCGTCCTTTCAAAAGCAGAAGGTTGTATACATAAAAACCTATAAGTAAAAATCTATAAGTCAATTAATACCAAATAATTAAAAGTATGGAACAAATTCAATAACACAAACTTGAATCAAAAGAGACTCATAATTAGATGAGAACACGCCCTAGTGGCGAAACAAAACATTTTTAATGTTTCAGAACTGTGAAACTGTTCAAATATTCATTAAAAAAATTAAGGCCCGATGTCACAATGAGAAAGCTGTAGAGGCAATCGTCTATCTCTTTTCACTTCATATGAAGCTCAGTATCCTTAATGACACCGTTAAACTGGTTAAACACTAATTTCTTAAACCTTTTTGACCCAATATAAAACATATTGTTAGTTAAAAAAAAAAAAAAATTGGCCCCACGTTGGGCGCCAATTGATATATTTATGGTGTGAATATTGAAGTTAATTTTACATATTAAAAATAAGAATAACAGGATTTTTATTTAACAAAACTTAAAATAAGTTTAGCTATTTACTGGTGGTATAATATTTATACATGGCGTGTTAATAAAGAATAAAATAAAATATTTATTTATTAAAAATAAATTACAGCTAAAAAAAAGGATTACTATAATGTAAGACAAATATTACTAATCAGTTTGAAAACAATAAGAAGAAATAGAACCAGAATTTTTATACGAAAAGTATATTAAAGTGTCGTCATTATTAGCTTGTATAAGAAAAAGAAGAAAATTAAAACAATGATTATGACCTTCTACTATTGATGGGAACGAAATAATTTGCAAAATCCACTTAGAACACTTACAATTCTGAGGCAGCTGCAATTTGAAGTATATCACCAACGTTATTGTAAAACATGAAAAACAACAAGTCATCTTTATATCGACTCAACTTCATAGAAGCAAGTTTATCCCTAAAAAATACAAATAAATATAAATTAAACATTAGGATACATTAACTTTATATTGTTCGTTATCAGGGTTAGCCCACCACCATTTAGATTATTAAAATTTCTACTAAACAATTTTTATAAATGTCTCTTATAAATATAACAGTAGAAACCATAAAAATAAAAACATACTAGTTAAACCATGACAACATATATTAAAACATATTAAAACGTATTAATGCCTATTAAAACATATTAAAACAAACATTAAAATGTATTGAAACATATTAAAACATTAAAATATATTAAAACTAGGGATAGAACGATAGCGATATTGATATCGGTATTTCGGCAGTTGTTGCCGATTATCGGTATAGTATCGGCAAGATAACTGCCGATATATCGGCAAAGAGATTGTCCTTTTACAGGTATTACAAGTCGCTTTTCGTTTTTAGATTTATTTGTCTGCATCTTCTTAAAATGTCTCCAAAAGATGCTCCTTTTACCTTCGTCATTACTTTTAATTTTTTTATTTTCCGCTTATTTACTACTACCCTGTCCAAAATAATCTGCAACCGTTCTCTTTCTACCAGCGCCCGTTTCCGCTTCCATTCTATTTGAACTCTCCATTTAAATGGAATATTTTTATTTATTATTTATTTTATCTCCTCTAATTAACAGTCAAGTTTAAAACGCCGTGTTTTAAAGCACTACAGAATATAAGGAGCTTTCCAGAAATCCAAAATGTCACTCACTATTCAATACCATTCACAAACGTTTCCTCGCAATGAATTTATAAAACGGAACTTCCCCGGTTTTTGCTTCGGTCGTGTATAACTAGATGGCGTTATGTTTGCCGATACGATATATCGGTATGTAAATATCGGTATCGGCAAAAAAAAGTGATATCGTTCTATCACTAATTAAAACATATTAAAAGATATTAAAACATATTGAAACATATTAAAACATATTAAAACATATTAAATCGTATTAAACCGTATTAAAACGTTTTAAAACATATTGAAACATATTAAAACATATTAAAACATATTAAAACATATTAAAACATATTAAAACATATTAAAACATATTAAAACATATTAAAACATATTAAAACATATTAAAACATATTAAAACATATTAAAACATATTAAAACATATTAAAACATATTAAAACATATTAAAACATATTAAAACATATTAAAACATATTAAAACATATTAAAACATATTAAAACATATTAAAACATATTAAAACATATTAAAACATATTAAAACATATTAAAACATATTAAAACATATTAAAACATATTAAAACATATTAAAACATATTAAAACATATTAAAACATATTAAAACATATTAAAACATATTAAAACATATTAAAAACATATCAAAACTTATTAAAACGTATTAAAACGTTTTAAAACGTATTAAAACGTATTAAAATGTATTAAAATGTATTAAAATGTATTAAAATGTATTAAAATGTATTAAAATGTATTAAAATGTATTAAAATGTATTAAAATGTATTAAAATGTATTAAAATGTATTAAAATGTATTAAAATGTATTAAAATGTATTAAAATGTATTAAAACGTATTAAAACATATATATTTAGAATCAATAAATGTCCAGTCAACTTCCTTACCTGATGGCGTGGTTGATAAGATACTCAGGCGGCACGTGATAATCGATGTCCTGCGGCCGACACGGGTGTTCCGCCCAGGGCCCCGCGAAGGTCGGATATAAGTTGTCGGGCGAGTTGAGATTCAGTCCGAGCGCCGTCAAGTCTTGGCCGAGGGCGAGCGACACTAAATTCGGATCGGTCTCCGCCGCCCTGATAAACGTCAACAGGCCGACAATGCCGAATTGGTCGTTCACCATGCTGCCGGGGATGTTCGTCACCCTGCCGTCCGGCGACGTTTGGATACCTTCAAAAAGAATTATTAATTTGTCATGGATAAGAACTAAATTAAACGAACATTTCGACTTTCCTGAGGCAATTCCTAAATGGGATATTTTCCTTATTTAATTAATTATTTAGTGGCGGCAACACAATACTTTTTAGAGTATTCTGTTTTTTATTGATCAAACTGTAGGATCAACACATAAAATGATTGTATCACACAATCGAAATAGAAAAAACGAGGCAACTATTAATATTCTATCGATTAGTAGTAAGTTAAAAATTATCTAAATTGTTTTTGTCTATAAAGCAGTTAATTTGAATTTTAAAATAAACCAGGAAATGAATAACTCATTAAACCTTTATTATCTTGCTTAATTTGTAAACTTAGGTGTTTTTTTTTTTAACTAACATCTTATTTCTCATAAATAATACATATATGATTACCTAAACAATTTCTTAATGCAGTATGTTTAAACCATACTTCCTCTGCAACTTTGATAAGACAGAAATTGTATTCTTTATTAAATTAAAAAAATAATGGATTTATCATAAAAAGAAACTGATAACATATGTTATAATGTTTATATTATAATTTAAAGATATTAATAATGAATAATATAGCTAAAAATTTTTTTAATATTTTTTAAAACAAGATTTTTTGCTTTATTATAGTTACACCAATGTCAATAACATGATTGGAAATATATACAAAGGGTTGAAATTTATAGGGATTATGACAAAAGGATAATATAGGTCTAACTAGAAATAGATTCAAAGCACTTATTAGATTATAGAAATAAATATAGTTTTGTATAAAATATAGGCAAAGGGTTGAAATTTATAAGGATTAAAAGGATAACATATATGGATCTAACTTGAAGATCTACTGTAAATAGATTTAAAGCACATTTAACGCCTATTAGATTGTAGTAAATAAACAAATATAATTTTGTATGTTTTTGAGGTGTAAAAAACAAGGCAACACCTTACCTGATTTTGAACCATTCTTTTCTCCTTCCCTCGAACTCACTCCATCCCCAGCACCTCCACTTGTATTCTTATCACCAGAATTATTACTACCGGGCGACGCACCGTCCCTGTTCTGGGTGCCGGGCAGCGCGGGAAAGTCTTCGGAGGACATGGTAAACTCGCTGGCCTCGGATATGGGCTGTTTCACCATGCCCACGTAGGGTTTCGCGCCGGGCATCGGGCTCGGTTGCGGGACGTTATCACCTGAGTTTCTGTTCGTCAACGACGGAAACTCGCTTAAGTCTAATAGAGATGGAGTATTGGTATCACCTGAACCGAAAACTGAATTAAAGGAACTATAACCTCCCAGCGTGTTCATGTTACCCATTTGATTCGAGTTTCTAAAAAAAAAAAGGTGCAAACAGTGTTAATTTTAATCGGAATTTTATTACAAAAAGGTGCCTAAATGTGACATTATGTCAGACAGGAAACTTATAAGTAGACCAATATGAATCTCAACTTGATCACTACATGGGGGTACAGCTGTTACATATAGTGTGTACACTTTCTGGCCCTTATAACTAGGAACCAGTTAGATAAGATAACTGTACCAATAATTGACACTATACTAACATCTGTTGGTATCCCGCAAGGGAGTATTGCAAGTCCATTGCTGTTTGTCATATTTATCAATGACCTACATTAATCTAATTTAAATGTATCCCAATCTATAACTGTTTATACTGATAACACTAATCTTTTGGAAGATGTGGGAACAATTCTCTGAGGTACTTATCAATAGCAGTAATCTGTTCTATAAAGTAAGAAAACGGTTCACAGAAACAAACTTATTTTATATGAAATAAAAACTAAAGCTATACTGTTTTCCAATAATCTATCAGGTAATGAAAAGCCAAATATTATAAAGTTAGAAGATGAATTTCGTTGAAATAGTATATATGCAAAGTTTTTGGGTGTTTACATTGATGAATTCCTGCATTGGTCAAAACATATAGAAGAAACAGCTACTAAATTGAGTAAAATATCATATGGACTAAGAATAACTAGTAAATATTAAAAAAAAAAGAATCAGCGACGTATCTCCACTTTACTAGTTTTGAATCTATTCCATATCTAAGAATCATTTTTTTGGGTTCAAATTACACTGATGAAAAAATATTTATTATACAAAAAAGAGTTATTAGAATAATTATCAAAATGCAATTCAGGAACTCAAAAATGTCAATATAAAAATAAAATTATGATATTTTATGCAATTTACATATTTGAACGCTTAATATATTTATTTAAGAACAGATAAATGTTTGATCTATGTGTAGTTAATCAAGAAATGTAAAACCTACTTAATTATCCATTGCAGTTCCTCATATTATATAGCAATAAAAATTTTAACAAATTTCCCATAACTATTTAAAATTGTATAATTATTAAGGAGCTCAAAAAGAAATTAAACAATTATTATTAAACTTAGATCACTGCAGTATCAATTATTTTTTAAATAATCAGTTTGTAATTTATGGAAATGTATAGTATTTTAAGTAGTTTTTGTCTATAACATCATTTCATTATGTTGGTGTATTTATTTTTCTATAATGTTAGGATTTTCTGAAATAAATATTATTATTATTAGATCCTGATATGTGTTGAATAATTAAATTCACAATTAATTGCTTTTTTAAGCATTTAATATTTTTTTTTTGTAATGTATGGTTCATTGCAGTCTTATATCTAATAATTTTATTTTTCCTAAAATAAATATTTGAGAAAAAGTTATTTGAAGCTCCATTCATTGACACTTGACTTATTTTTTTTTATGTACGAGTAATTGCCACTAAAGAAAACCTATTTATTTATTATTAAAATTTTAAAGCACTGGTAAAAATAAAAAATCGAAAATTCACAGTATAACTTTTTGTAATTGCCATAACTCTAACAAAAACATTACTGGAACCAAAAATCTGTTATATACAGGGTGCCAATTTAACAACTTTCCCATTGGAAATATCTGGAGAGATTATTAAAAATTGCTTGGAACAGGTAGATTTGCATTCCAAGGGGGACACCTTCCTATCGTATTCTCAAATGTCATTCCCCTCCCTTCTATCTAACTAACCAATTTAAATAGGAAAAGTATATGACACATTATTAAAAAGGTAATTTTATAGGAAATTCAACAATATGACTGTTCATTGCTATACTTTGGATGGTAGGATAAAAACTATTACATATTGTAAGTGTGACCCTTCATTTGAAAGCTAATTTTATGAGTAATTTAATGCACAACATAGAAAAACATAATTCAACGGAATATAACTCAAAAAAGCATAAGAATGTTGGGATTAAATCAATTCAATTTTAATTGCAATCAACCAAAATAGCAAATTTACACTATGCATTAAATATTTATGAAATTAGCTATCAGTGCACCAGCTTGTTCATCGTATTATAGTTTTTGGTTGCCTATAAAGCCATGTAACATTCATTATAGGCTACACAGTAGTCTAATAATACTGACATTTCAGATAAATTTCTTATAGACAGTCTAATGTTCTAATTTTAAAAGAAACTATTGAAGGGGTGTCAATTATTGGCACTTACTTGATCTATTATAATAATTTTAAAAAAACCTGAATAGTGATTTTTAGCTAGAAATAGGCTGAAATTAAATAGAAGAAAACAAAAAATATTTCTTAAGTAGGTCTTGGAAAATGCACACATTTTGGAGTGTACAATTTGTCTCGTCTTCTTTTTGTTAAGTCAGTTTGGATTTAATTCAGAGCCCTGGGTACTTATCATAGACATGACTCATATTTCTATCTTAATTGGTCATGGCCTACTTTAGGAACATTTTTTGTGTATCAATCTTCACTTACTGACTATAGTGAAATATTTTTTTCGTGGAAATTAAGAAAGATAAAAAGAAGTTAAACTCTTCTGAAACCACAATAATTTCTACTGTCATCTGTCAACTAGTATACAATGGACAAAGCTAATTTAAATAATACAGATGAGTGGTAGGATTCTTGATAATTAATTTTTTTAGGTACTAATTATTTAAACTTTAATAATTAACTATTTTTGCTTCAAATATTTTCATAAATATTGAATACCTAGGTAGGTACTTTTTTTTACCCCAAGTTAGTGTTTCCAATGGAATTCAAAATGTTATTTAAACTACCTGATAAAACTTAATAATTGAACACCATAAAAAACAAAAATTCCTTAGTATTCCCTATGAAAAATAATAAAAAAATTGCCCTTACCATTAAAAGTCTGGAGTAAAATATTTATTGTCAAAACTACACCTTTTATTAAATTAGCTAAAACATCTAGGAACATTTTGCCAACATACTATGTGACATTAGTCATTTTGAACAAATATAAAAACAAAAATATCTCAGAAAAAATATATACTTCGCATACTGAATGAGAGTTTATTACTGTACATAATAATATACATAAAATTCTCAGAAATGTCAATGACTTATTATGTTTAACAATTAAAATAATTTTAACGAGCAATTTACACTGTTGACTCATTTTAACAAACTTATTTAAAAGACAATTTTTATGATAATCGAATAAGACACAACAAATTTATTTAATCACAATACCAAATGTCTTTTATTGAAGCATTTTGTTATTAATTATTATTGCACCTACAAAATGTATCAATAATTACAAAAATTGTACTATAGCTATCTTATCTTGTGTAATTATGTAAATATATTTTAATTACATTAAAAACAAAACAAACATGAATACTGTTTTGCAATAACAAATAATATTGTTGATGGGAAGGTTAAATTAATTTTAATTGTATAAAAAAAATAGTATTGAAAAAGATGACTTGGTTTTATTATAAAGTAATACCTATTAATTTATAGGTTAAGTTTAACAAATATATAAGGATGCTAATTAGTTTAATGTATACTCATTAAATGAATAACAGCAATGCGAAAATATAAAACCGTTGTGTATGTAACAAGTTTATAAATCCAACAACTGGTTAAGAAACACAATTTTCCCCAATCTGAGACAATATGCAAAATTTTTTTTGCTAAAGATAGTGTGGATATGCATGTAAATATTTACCCCAAAGAAGGAAGGCCCCTCCTTTCCGAAGGTGTTCTTTGTCCGAAAACTGGGGTAACATGTCCTGACATAGAATTACTACCGAAACTAACACTCGTTCGTCCAATACTGTTACCTCCAATATTCCTTGTAAAGTTCAAATTCGCCATGGCTATCTCTTATTAAGCAAACTACTTTCAAGCATAACGAAATTGACAAAGGTCTCTTGTTTTTTTGTCACAAAAATTTCGTACAATCTACTGGAACAAAAAATAGTGTTTCATACTGACACTAATAAAACCAAAAATTCACACTTTTAAGAGCAAACAGCTGATTGTTGAATCTCTCAACTATGGAAACTGTAATGGAATATTAGCTTTTTAATAAGAAAAAACTATTTAAAATGCAAACTATATTAGAAAATTGGATTAAATAAATGTTATTGTCCTCTAACAAAACGCCATTGAATCAATCTGTCATCTGTCTGTCAATACTGTCAAATGTCAAATGTTTTTCGTTAAAGCCACGTTCCCAATATATCGAAATAACTTATTGTGATTGGTCAAAATATTACATGGTATACTATAATTAGTCCATAATGATATGAATTTCTGAACTTATCTAAAAATAAATAAACGATAGCGTTCGATAATTAACCAAACTAGACTAAACACAACCAATTGTCACCCTTCATTATGTGATATTTATTAAAACTAGGGATGTTGCGATACCAGTAAAGTATCGATACTGGTATCGAAAGGAGTATCGGAACCTATGATCGGAACCAAAGTATTGATACCGGTATCGAAAGGGTATCGGAACTAAAGTATCGATACCGATATCGGGAAGAGTACAGAACAACCAAAAAAAAATGTCATAGGCTACGCCGACATATCATACCATAAAGTGATCCTACAATATACTTTTGTCCGTATTGTAAAGTCAAAACTACTAAAATATTGAAACGAAAGTAGTAGTATCGAAACAAAAGTAGTACCCATATGAGTAAAGTATTGAAAGCAAAGTATCGGGTACTAAATTACCCGGTATCGAAAGAAAAGTATCGATACCAGTATCATATCCTGTAGTATCACAACATCAGTGTTGTCAGATGTACGATAATTATCGATTTTGTACGATAAATTTAACGAACGTACCATAGATAAATTAATAGACCCCGTACGATAATTTTAAACGGTTTATGCGATAATTCTTTTTGAAGTCTGGCAACACTGCGCAACATCCCTACCTAAAACTTACGTCAAACGTCAAATTAATTTGAATTAAACGTCATACACAATACACATGTCCTTCCTTCGAACTTTACGTTTTTTTTAAAAAATTGTAAATAAATAGTATTCAGTAATGTTTTAAATCCTAAGTTTTTGTTTATTAATAATCTCATAAACTTAGCACCTTTTTTCATGAAATTTTTCGTTACAAATAATGATCACTGAATTCAAATAGCCCAGTGAAGTGTTTCTCTAAGAGCATTATAATAAAATAAATAATTTGGTTTTGGTGGGAGGCTGGAAGCAAATGGATATCGCGTATTCACCGAGAGTGGGGTTTACCTGTAATTATTCTTGAATATTATCACTTGCTATATAAATACCTATCTAAAAAAAATTTTTTGTCTATACTTTCAAGTTCAAGTTTGTATCCAGTTTAGTATACTTCCGTAAAAATGAGTTTAACTTTGGCAGGAAGAGCATTGCACTTTGTGTTTAAGATTCCGAACAGAAAGGAATCTATGAGATTTTACAGAGAGATTCTGGGAATGAAAATGTTGAGACATGAGGAATTTGCAGAAGGATGTGAAGCCACTTGTAATGGGTTAGTAATTAATACAATTATTTTTATTATATATTCAAGGTTATATCAATAATCAGAAACATAATTACTATAGTTTGGTGAGTAAGTTTTCATCATAAGAATGAATGTATTAGTTATAAATGAGGAGATACAATTTTTTGTACTATGGGAATGATGAAAAACTAATCACAATAGAAGTATAAGAGAAATAAAATAACATGTACCTAAATAAGAAATAGTTGAATAGAAGTGCTATAGTTTTCAAGATTTTATTATAATATTGGAAAAACAAAAAATTTAAATACCATATAATATGCTTGTCTGATTGCCATCTATTCATAAAAAAGTTGCCATTGTCCTATCATAGAATAAAAATAATACCTACCAAAGATTTTAAATCAGCATCTATAAAATAATTTTTAGTTTTGCATTCACTTCGGTTAGCTCCACAGCAAAACTGTCAAATCCTCTGTATGAAGTGGGAGAACTGCGAAAAGCCTTTCCAGCTTCTGTTCCTGTTATAAAAGAAAAAGTTATTTCTCCCAAAAAGGCATATATGCTCCCATAAGAATTCTCTACATTCTAATTTTCATTAGGACATTTGGGATTCTACATAAAATTTACCAAATTTTGACCATAATTATGTATTTATATGTTTCCTCATGACTTTCTTATATCTTAAGCATTCAAACGTCGCCTGTACACGATAAAAATGTCTTTAGAGGGTTAATATCTATCTTAATATTGTATTTTCTACTTTATTTCTTTTCTTTACTTATTTTTTTCATATCTTTACTGCCAACCAAAATATTGAGAAAATTTAGCACTTTTCCAGTACAAAAATTATAGAGAATGATATCACAAACAACTCTTATTAGAAGAATTTTCTTCGCCTTTCATAAATAACAGAAATATACCTTAAAGTAGAAAACGCTCCTCTATATAAAGTATCCTTCCCAGAGATTCTATGTTCAAAATCTAATCAGTTCACCACAGGATGGATTAAAGTTTAATTTTAAAATTTTTTGTTTTTCTTTTTAACTGTTTTTTGAGTGGATACAGATACAGACAACAAAAACGCAAGTCACAAAAATCATGTTTCGTATTTCTACAAGTATTTCTTTATACTCATTCAAAGAATAGATATGTTTATGAAGTTTGTTAATTTTTTTTTATAAAATCAATGTATTTTATATTTTAAAAATATTTTATTTGAACATGATGTATGAATGATTGGGCAATAATCATTTTGATAAGCGAGATCCAGACAAAGATAAAATTCTTGTAACAAGTAATTCATGAATGATAAAATTAGGTACTTTTTTTCAAGTGTTTTAATCTTATACTAAATAATCCTAGGAATGCAAAACATTAAATTCCCCTTTTATTTCAAATGTAAATTTATTTTTATTGTACAAATATACATGTTTAACTTTTGATTTGAAGCAATAAAGACAATATTATTATACATTATTTTAGTGTATGACCAATAAAAACTCCCAGGCCGGATATTTTGGTAAGTAATAGATATATTTTAATTCTGTACAAGTTAGTTCACAGAGTACTAAGAGAGCTTCAGTTTTATATATAAATTGATTTTAAGTAGGTCAATATATAGATGGCGCTGCGCTCAATAATTTTTTTTCGATGGGAGGATCTTTCTTGTGTAGCGCATCTTGTAAAAAATGTATTTTTAAGAAGATTTTGTTCTATAAACTAATTCTATAAATCTAGCCATTTTTGATATGCAGAGTGGGTCACTTAACACAGTTTTATCCTGTTTTTCAGTAATAATCATTGGATTTTAAGAAAATGCTAAAACAGGTCGATTTTTATTCCGAATTGCAAACATTTTTACAATACAGACATCTGTCATGTGTCAACCCCTCCCTTGCACGTCTCCAATACCTAATTTTAAATAGGTAATGTACTATGTATAGCACATTATTGAAAAGGTAATTTAATTGAGAATTCAGAAATATTTCTGTATATTGCGGTACTTAAATTTTATCGCCCTCTAGCGGGATAAAAAACTACTACGTATGTGTGGGACAATACAATGTGTAGTATATCATTAAAAAGGCAATTTTATGAGGAATTTAGAAATATGACTGTTCTCGCACAAACGAAACAGAAAAAATATCATGTATAATAAAAACTTAAAATTGTATTGTCAATTATTTGTAATTAGTATAAACAAAGTAATTGAAATTCTATTAACTGTACCTATGTCCTAAATGAAATATTCATTCCTGACTCATTCGTGAGTAAGGCCCATATACTATTGACTATGTTCAAATAAGAATAATTTATTTCATTATTGAAATCTATTAGAATTTTAAACCTTTAACGATTCTCTTATGTGATGACGCCACTATAACAAACTAGTGCATGTTAGAATGATAATTTACAAATTAATAGAAAATGTTGCTGCTGGTCTAGGACATGTGGGCGCAAAGACATTTGGGCACGGGGTCAATTGGGCGCCGGATAGTGCGGAAAAATGTTGAACAAAAATCGAAATATACATAGTCCTTCGACCTTGATGTTGGTTTTCCTTAAAGATCGGAAAATTACGTTAGCTGCTATTTTACTGTAGTACAAAAATATTTATTTAACGCGAGAAGAGTGAAAAAATAAAAATGATTAATACCTATTTTTATTAATATTTTTTTGGGAGAAATACCAATATGTTGCCAAATTATCTTATAATTCAACACTTAGAAACAAAAAATTAAATTAAAAACTATTGCTAAAATAATATACATATATGGTTCATTTTAATTTAAAAAGTTACTCGCTGGCATCTGAATCGCCAATACTACTCAATTCCAAATCTTCCAAAAAAGATCAGATTGTGTAGGAGAAGGAGCTGCATCATTTACCAGAAATTCTTTAATATCATTCAAATTAGCATGCAATTGTTTGGAAGCAGTTTTACGATGCTTTGATACTGACGAATTTAGAAATATGACTGTTCATTGCGACACTTTTAATTGTACTGCCCTCTATCGTGATAAAAAAATTGTACGTATTATAAAGTGTGACACCTTATTTAAAAGCAAATTTAATTATTAATTCAATGCACCACATAACAATATAAATATCTTACATTAGTCATGCATTATTTTAAACATTATTGCTAACTTTATTTTGTTGCAACTGCAATATGGAAATAATTATATTATTGTTATGTGGTGCATTGAATTAGTAATTCAATTAGCTTTTAAATGAAGTGTCACACTTTTTTATAATACATTACAGGTGTTTTATCCCGATAGAGGGCGCTAAAAATAAAATTATCGCAATAAACAGTCATATTTCTGACTTCCCCATAAAATTACCTTTGTAATAATGTGCCATACATGATACATTCCTTATTTAAAATTAAGGGGTTAGAGAAGTGGAGGAGGTTGAAACATGACAGATGTCTGTATTGTAAAAATGTGTTCAATTTGGAATAAAAATCGACGTGTTTTAGCATTTTCTAAAAATCCCATGATTATTGCCGAAAAACAGGATGAAACTATTTTGAATGACCCACTCTGTATATCAAAAATGGCTAGATTTATCAAATTAGTTTATAAAACAAAACCTGCTTAAAAATGCATTTTTTACAAGATGCATTATATAAGAAAGATCCTACCATCAAAAAAAAAATATATTGAGCACAGCGCCATCTATACATTGACCTATTTAAAATTAATTTATGTCTAAAACTGAAGCTCTCTTAGCGCTTTATGAACTGGCTTTTACAGAATTAAAATATCTCTATTACTTACCAAAATATCCGGCCTGGGAGTTTTTATTGGTACACCCTGTATAGAATATTTAAAACTCATATCTTCACACAGTAGTCTGTGAAGAGTATTATGGACTCGGTTCCATCCATTCGATGTCACATGTTTTGTCCGCACTATGAAGACTAGAGAGAAGGAGGCGAATCGGCAATGCTCAAATTTCAGTCCTTCTTTTTATAAAGTTCGCGAAATTGACTGTAGTTGGCGGCAAGTCAAATGTCAGCAGTGTCAATTTTCTATGTAAGTCAATATAAGTGATTTGAAGTGGTTTTTTAAAAAATTGGTGAAAAGAATCAAAATAATGTGAAAAAAAGTACTTGAGTACAAGTAAAATGAGTGACAAAAAACATCAAAGCAAGATTTACGTCGTTCCAGATTGTAAAACAGGATAAAAATCAAATGTAAAACTAAAGAAAACACAACAAGAAATCAATTCAATGTCTTTTTAAAGCTTCCAATGTAAGTAAAATACCATGTACATTCCCAAATCTCCCTTTATACATGTATTACATCAATAAAAATCTGTGTTTTATTTTACTCTTAAAACTATATATTGGTTCAATTCAAAAACAAATTTGCCACAAAATTGTACTTATCAAATTTCAACATTTAAGAAACCTTTTCGAATTTGGTCATACATACCTAATTTGTATTTAATACAGATAAAATTAAATAATTTATCAATTAAAACATGCAAGACTTATTTAGAAATAAATACAACAGTATGTTCTGTGCTTTATTTAGCTATAAACAAGTTTATTTTTATTATTTTGACAAAATTATGTATAATTCCCATAAGAAGCCATGTATTTTGAACTACGTAAACCGTACCAGCGCCCATGCGGTTAATTATAGAAACTCAATTAGCATGCGTTTTTGGGACCGTATTTTGAGTATGCCGATTCGTCTCCTTATCTCTAGTCTTCATAGTCCGCACATAAGTCAAAAGTAATAAAATTTCAGGAAAATTAAGCTCTAATGGGACAAAGGTTATTAAAGGCTTAATAAAAATGGGGGGGGGGTTGAAATATACAAAAATCATGACTCAATATAAAAAAATCAAGCTCTATGAGGGGAAAAAGCCCTTTGATTTTGAAAAATATCTGATTAAAAATGGGGGATTTAAGGGCGGTTGAAATTTAAAAAAAAAATCAAAAATGAACAGCCATTTAAATATAAAATTTTTGATAAAGCTTTACAAGAGAATGGAGCCTTATTGATTCTGAAAAAAAATCTGAATAAAAAGGGGTTGAAATATTGAAAAAATCCTAACTCTGAAACAAAAACAATATCAAATTGAAATCTTCAGGAAAATCAAGCTTTATAAGGGAATGAAACATTTATTTTGAAAAAAATGAATAAAATTGGGGGGTTGAGGGGGTCGAAATAAAAAATATATTGTAAATCAAAGATGGAAAGTAATATCAACATGAAATTTTTAGTAAAAATCAAGCTCTATAAGAGCCTATTGATTCTGAGAAAAATTTGAATTAAAATGAGGGGTTGAAATTTAAAAAAAATCCTAACTCAAAAACGGAAAGATATCAACTTAAAATTTAAAACAAAAATTAAGCTATATAAAGGGACAAAAACTATTAATTTAGAAATAAAAAAAAAAAATACAAATCAAACACCAAAAGCGATAACAACATGAAATTTTTAGTAAAAATCAAGCTCTATAAGGCAATGAAGCATATTGATTCTGAAAAAAATGGGGGTTAAAGGGGGTCTGTTAAACTGTGAAGAGTATAATATAGAATGCCAAGTATTATATATCTTCATTCTAGTTTACTTTTAATTTAACAATTAAAAATCAATGAATTAACCACTACCCGAATATTTCCAAATCGGCTGTGATGTACCCCCCCTCCCCCCAACTCCCCGGCTCTATTGTAATTTTGCTTTGTTTTCATTTGTAAGTGGCTCAGTGGTTAGCGTCTGGACTTCCTGATCATAGGGTTCGAATCCCACGAGGCCAGGGCTTTTTCCAATTAATTTGATTAATTAAAAATTAATTTGAATGCCTAGATAGGATTCCCCATTCGATCATTCACTGTTTGGTTCTAGTAAATAGGGCTATTTATAAAGGGGCAATGTGAAACAGTAACAAAACCTACACAGAACACATTAATTAAGAAAAAAATATTAAATTATTTACTTCTGTGTTAAACAGACTTTCTTGTGAAATGCTATCCATTCATTTAAAAACAAACTTGTTATTTAAAAACATTTTACTTATCTTATCCGTATAACAAAAATAGCTAGACTTTCGGTAAATACCTATACGCTAATTATATAATGAAAAATACAAAAACAGTTGTATAGTGGATTAGATTACATACTCGTGTAGTAATTGTATCAATTAATTTATTGATATAATAAACATTCCTATTGTTTCTGCATGTTCTAATAACGTAAGACGCTATCGTCAATAGAGAGTAGTGATTTAAGAATACGTATCTAAAAATTCGTTGAGTCCGAATATTAAAAGGATAAGGATATTCCAGAATCAATGTATATTCGAATACGGATTCGGAACAAACAAAAACAAAATGTTGTCGGTATGAAATAAAAAAAAAAAAAACCGTTAATTGATACGTGACAACTTCGGAAAACGCATAAATGATCTTTTTTTGGTCTTCAATGAATCACTTCGGAACATGCTCTTCTTCCTTCTGAACCGATAGGTGGCGGTCCCAATATGGACACGTATTAGGATGGTGAATCCGCATTTTTTTTGGTTCCGAATACGTATTATCCAAATCCAAATACCAAAAAGACACGGATATTTACAACATTAATAGAGAGACCAGGCAGGCACCAATAGGGTCTTACGCTAATTACCAACCACGTTATTTTCCAAATAATGAATGCACACAAATTAGTGTTGGACAAAAAAAAAATCGTAATAGGCGTCCTAAAACGTAATAGCCCAACAAACACAGTTTATCATCACCGTAACTGGACCGAAGGAGGCGCCGGACTCGGCCCGATATACGGGTGAGGCTTCGGCATGTAGATAGGGCATGTCCGCCCAGCCGAATGTCGGCAGCCCATTAAATTGTAACCGCGTTCATACATCTATATATAATTCGGCCCATAAGGATGCCTCCCATGCACGGCTAGTCAAATATTAACCGCGTTCGGCCCGTAAGGATGCTTCCCATGTCTGGAACGCCAAATATAGACCATATGCGGTTTCTATTTCTAAATTACGTCAAATGGTACGGTCCTCCCGGCTCAGAAGAAACGCCGACAACGGCAGTCCGAGTACTCGGCTTCCCGTACGTGCCGGTGTCAGGCCGAGCGAATGCCGACTATTTGTGGTTTACTGGGAGATTTTAGTAAAAGGCAATAACTGTCATTTTCGGCGTATGCGCGCATTTCAAATTTACGTGACTTAAGCGTCACAAGTCACAAACAAAAATCCGTCAGTAAGTTTCTTACAAACATAAGCCACACAGTTTAAAGATAGTAATATTATTTTTAAATTGTGCTTGCTTGAAATGTAGAAAATAGGTTTTTTTCGTTCGCTGTTGGTGCAATGTCCACCAGTCTAAATTACACCAGTTACACCACCTTATTTATCTAGTTTACTTCCTCCTTATTCCTGATACATATGTCGAGTGTAATTTATTCCTGCCAAATAGCTGGTGAAGAAAATATCCACCAGTGGACACCACATCGCCGACAGAAAGGTCTAGTGTATTTTACACCGGGCCAAACGAAAGGTATGGTGTCCGTTGGTGTAGTTCATTCCTACACCAGTGCGACGAACGAAAGAAACTACTGACTGCACATGGGGAATTTTCTCATGCTGGTTTCTTGAATGAGAGTCTTATTAGATTTAAGAAAAACGTAATGAAGTAATATTTAAACCAAAAAAGTAATAGATTTATTCCGAAAGTAATGGCAAGAACAAGGCTCACGCAAATGTGATTTTACATAGAGTTCGGGCAGACTAAATTTATTTTGACAGTATTGTATTCTATTCTACGATACCTGCAAATTTTTGAGGTTACTATTTTCCATTTTTGTACAATTTTTTGACTACTGATACCATGTTATGTTGGGAATGGGGTGTTAATACACTGCGACCTAAAAGATCTATTGTACCCCCTTCTGTCGCCAATGCACTAAGGAAATGTCTCAATGCCTATAACGACCCTTCCAATACTATTTCCTCAAGGAAGTGTAGGATTTGAAGTGGCTTCAAGTTAGGTAAATCTCCCTATTCTATTTGATATCCCTCTAGATATAGTGCCCTTGGATTCTGGAGTGCTACACATTCAGTTAGGATGTGACTGGAGGTTTCGTCCTCCTTACATAATCTGCACTCACTATCCTCTACTACTCTCAGTTTACTTAGGTGTCCTTTTAGTCGACAATGCCCGGTAAGGATCCCTGTTACAATACGTAGCCTGTTCGTGCTCAGGCAGATGCAGGCTTCCGATCTTTTCTGGTTATATTCACCCAGAAGTATATTGGCCTGTCGCAGCCCCAAGAGATTGTTCCAATTATCGGTTCTTCTACTGCCCAATTCGTTTTAATCTCTCCTAATAGTATTGTAACTGCTGATACCGCAGAACGGCTCAGGACCTACAAAGGGTGTTTGAGCTCCTTTCCTTGCAAGACTATCTGCAATCTCGTTACCCTGTACCCCGTTATGTCCCGGGACCCAAGTGAGAGTAACTCTATTATTTTTCTCGCCTAGCTCATTCAATTGTTCTAGGCATCTCCAGACCTTTTTTGAGCTGATTTCGTAAGAGCTCAGCGCTTTGATGGCTGCTTGACTATCGGACATAATGATAATCTCTTGTCTTGTCTATGAGAGTTTCTCTCGATGTTAAACTGGATTCACTTCTCGATGGCGTGAATTTCCGCCTGGAAGATGCTTGGGTATTTTCCCAAGCTTTCGGAGTGCTTGGTTCTCGGCCCATATATTCCAGTTCCTTTTATGGTTTTGGAACCATCCGTATATCACCGAATAACACGTCTTTCGGTTGCAAGCGCGATGGATTCTTGGCTTTCTTTCAGCGCAGCTCTGTGGTTTTGAAGTTTTTCACAAAACTGTACTTCTTTAGCATTTCATCTTGGGGCATGTCCCAGGTATCTTTAGCTCTCGTAGTAGCTAAACTAGTTCTGTTACTCCAGGCTATAGCCCCGTAAGTGATGATTGGTCTCACTATTGCAGTATACGACCATCGCAGTATGTTTGGGTTACATCCCCATCGTTTACCTGCAATGTTTCTGCATACCATTAGGACTTTTGTGGCTTTATTTACTACTTCCTTCACATGTGTGTTTCAGAGAAGTTTGTTGTCCAGGGTTAGGCCTAGATATTTGACTTCCATTTTCCATTCTATATCTATCCCGTCTAATTTAACGGTTTTGAGATTAAGTTTTTTTTTTTTCTTGAAAAGGCTACTGGTGTTGTTTTTATAGGGTTTATAACCCCACTTCACGGCACCATCTTTTGGTATGTTCTATACCATTTTACTACCATATTTTTAACTCTTATTGTTATGTCATTCATTATAATAATACGAGTAACATCTCTACTCTACTATCAAGTAGAATGGCCACCTCTCTACTAAAACACGTCGTACGTCATCAAGCGATCATGTTCATACGATCATTATACCTATTTTTTTCAATGCGAAGTCACGATACACCACGTAATTTTCAAGATCCCAAGCAAAGCATTTTGTTAAAATACTGTTAAACAAAAAATAGGGTATTTATTCCAACCTACACGTCCTCACTGTCTACGGCGTCGTGCTCAAACTTCGTCTTCGTGCGATATGGCCATCATATCCACTCTTGTTGCACATACTACTGTAATAGACAGGAATATTTGTACTGTCTGTCGTTAAGAAATAAGCAAAACTGTCATTTTAAACCTGGCTTACTTTTTAACGAGTAACGAAGCGAATTGACCTTAATAATAACTACCTCATATTATTAAAAAAAAATTAACGCAAAGTTTTGTTTGTTAAATTCTTTAGACCTTACGACGGTAGATGGAGCAAAACGATGGTGGGCTACGGTCCGGAGGACAACCATTTCGCCATAGAGTTGACCTACAATTACGGCATCACCTCTTACGAAAGAGGCAACGATTTCGAAAAGATCACCATCAAAAGCAAAGAAGCTTTGGAGAGGGCCAAGAAACAAAATTGGCCAATCGAGTCCGGTAACACTTTGGTAGCGCCAGGTGGTTATAAGTTTGAAATAATTAGCGAATCTCAACCAACAGATAAAGGTAAAAATATAAAAAATTGTTTTCTGTTTAAAGGTTTAATTAGTCTAGTGTAATTAGTCTTTATAATGTGTGCTGTACCATTACGTGCCATTTGACCATATTCAATTGTATACAAGTAAACTTTGCAATGCAAGTTTATTAAGTAATTCTTCTATTGAAATACAGTCCACACCTCCCAACATATATTTGGTCCTTCGAGCCGGATTATGAATCTATTTTCAATTTATCAAAGTAGCTCACCTTATTGGTCATGGTCTACTTTAGAAACAATCATTCTTTAGTTTCTTTATTTTGTTAATATTTTTAGATCCAGTGCAGTCGGTAACATTGAATTCCTCGAATTTGAAGAAATCAATTGATTATTGGAACGGAATTCTTGGTCTGAAAATTTTCAAGCAAACCGACAAGACGGCGTTGCTCGGCTTTAAAGAAGACGAGGCTAAACTCGAACTGAACGATACTGGAAAACCGGTAAACCGAGGACAAGCGTACGGCCGTATCGCCTTCTCCATCCCGCATTCCGAACAAGAACCATTAGCGAAGCTCGTCGATGAGAAGAAAGTCAAAGTTTTAACCCCACTCACTGTCTTACCCACTCCCGGAAAAGCCGACGTCCGAGTAATTATTTTAGCCGATCCGGATGGTCATGAAATCTGCTTCGTGGATGACGAAGCGTACAGGCAACTCTCACAACCGGATTACTCTAGCGAGAAAGTACTCGAAACTCAAATGAAGAAGGACACATATGACAAATCGAGTTAAGGAACTTTGTTTAGGGTTTAATATACATTCTGAGAACGTTGTGATCTATGAAATTGGTTAATAATGATATTTAATATTGTATACACATATAAAACGGGGTTTAATTTTATAACCAAGTCGGTTTTAATAAAGATATTATTTTACTGTTATCCTGTGTTTTAATTTAATGGTATTAAATAATTTCGTTCTGAAAAACATTAATTCAATATAGAATTGTCAATAGGCACGGATTTACGTTTTGAAGCCAACTAGACACTCATTATTATGACGTCCCACTTCTCTCATTCCTCTATTTGCAATAAGGATTTTTTTTCATTGTTTTAAGAACAATGAAAACTATTTCCAAATTAAGCCGTATTTTACCAACAAGTAGACAGTGAACGACAATAGTGTATCATTATTGTCGTTCACTGTCTACTTGTTGGTAAAATACGGCTTAATTTGGAAAAAGTTTTAAATTTTAAAAATTTATACTTGCTAAATGTAACAAAAAAAAAGTCCGAGAAAGATCGCCATTAAACATTTGTGCTCTAGGCCAGTGCCTAATAGGAAATCCGGGCCTGGTTGCAAACAGGCTATGCTGATCTAAATATATTGAGGAATACTCAAAAGACAATTTTTGCTATTCACTTGTTTTTTTGTTCATTTTCTACAAATCCATCTATTAGCCCAAATGTCTTAGTGTCGTCTTCACAAAAGTTAGAACTATTTTATTTCAGGTGGGCGTCGCTCCGCTCGTTGAATTTTAATATTAACCCGGAGAATGATAGAGAAACCCATATAGTCAGAATGACGGCAACCCCAATTCAATAGATGTATTTATAAATATAGAACCTCACGAATGGCTCTCCTATAGAAAAACCTAAGACGTCAGATTTAGCTTCAAAAGAACTTGTCCAGCAACATTATAATAGCAGTGATCAATAATGATGTTTGTGATATTATAGGTATATAGATTCTGAAATAAAATAGGTACCTACAGCATGCGGATCTATCAGAGCGAAAGAGAACGCTGCATATATAAGCGAGAAACCATTACAATGTCTCCGCTAAAAATATTGAAGTATCACCCGAGAATAACTATTACGCCGGAAAGCGACAGCTTTTGCCGCGTTTGAGAATCCACATCGGATGCATTTTTTACATCTCGAGCGTTTTTTTATCCACATCGGACACATCTACTACATCTACATCTGCGTTTGTTTATCCCAGATGTACCTGTTCAGATTACATTTTTTACATCTCGATTTGAAATGAGATGTGAATGAGATGTTCGTTCCATGTCAGAAAGTAAGTGTTCTGTGAAGCCTTGTTTGTCAATTTATCCTTTGTTTATGCTAGCATGAATATAAAAGTGATTAGTTTGTATAATTTTTGTTTATATTTCAAATTTAGGTTGATTTGTAGTCTCAAAAGTCAAATTTAATAAGTATAAACTTCTAACTTGTCATTGACATTTTATCACGTGACCAAATAAAGTCTAGAGCGTTTGTTTATTACATCTACATTCAGATCTAATTCTCTATCACGTGATAAAAAATTCACAACATCTCAGATGCATCCGATGTGGATTCTCAAACGCGGCATTTGTCGGAACGTTTGATGTTTGTGGGGTCGATTTGCGGTGACCTTGAAGACACCATAATTACACCGCACGCAAGCTGAATTGGCTCGCAGTCGGGCGATCGCGCGGAAATTTGAAATTTACACGCTCTACTCTAAATATGCTTTTAGTAAGGGAGTAATGACCGATTCCACCGTTGTGTTAAACGAAGTTTAAAATGACATTTTTACATTAACAATGTCATTTTAATCTCCGTTTAACACAACGGTGGAATCGACCCTTAATCACACAGTAATAACTGAAAGAAATAATTCAAAACAGTCGAAACTACAGTTGTTGCGCTCGGATCAAAATCGCTGGACACCTTCGTATACGGTGTCGCGCTGATCTAGCTGGCCACATGCAAATAGACACCATATTTTCGATCATGTGCCGTCGAAAACCGACCCGGCGGGAAAGGGTCTTTGTCGCTTCTCGGCGTTTGGTTATTCTCGGGTATCGCACCATTCCAAATTTGCAGAGTCCGTTTCTGGACTTTTTGAATTTAAATTTTGTGCAACGGTGTAGGCGCGTAATCAAATAACTATCAAATACTATATGAACAATGTTGCCAGGGTAAAATGGTGACATTTCCTATTCAAAAATTACAGGTTACCCGAAATCACCAATAAAATGCAATAGTGATAAAAATATTTCATAAAACATTACTTCACAAAGTAATAGTGCACATTATACAATATATAGAGAATTCCTAAGAAGGATGGTGTTTGTCATGTGGTTGACAACATGCAGCGATAGGTACCTTCTGACTCGGAACAAAATGTTTGCTGAGAGTTATTAAATTACTAAAAAATCTTTTTTTTTTTGCTTTTCTTTACTTCAAATTCATCTGCTGGTCTGAATGCCCCAGTGGCATCCTCAAAAAAGTTACAGCTATGAGCTATGTAAATAATTTGTGTTTATTACAGATCGGTGGGGGGTGGATTGGCTCAGTGGTTAGAGTCATGACTTTGAGATCGGAAGATCTCAGGATCGAATCCCACCGTTGGCCGGGATTTTTTCATTTAATTTAATTATTTAAAATTAATTCTGATGCCTTTGTAGGATTCCCCACTCGACCATTCACTGTTGGGTTCTAATTAACAGTGCTGTTCCTAAAGTGGCGCTGGGAAACAGTAACAAAGCCTACACATAACACGAGGCTAATGGCCGTAGTAGTCGACGCCGATGACACCAAATGAAAAAAAAAAAATTACAGATCGGTATAGGGTTGCCAGACATCACGCTTTCGGCGTGGCAGCCACGCTTTTTACCTCAGAGGAATCGGATTTATACAAAAATAGACCGGGTAAAAGTCCCTCGTATAAGCGGAGGACCTTTTTTTTGTTTTTTATTTAGAAATGCTGTCAAAAAATGGACCCGATTATATAAAAAATAAGTTGAGGCTTTTTTTTTTAGAAATGGTCACAAAAATTGGCCTGATTATATAAAAATAAGTTGAGGATTTTTTTTTCTTATATAAAAATGCTCTATCGTCACGGTTGCCACGCTTTTCACTTCCGAAAATGTGGCAACCACAAAGCATGTATCTGTGGCAACCCTACAGACCGGCGCCTCTCAACCCCGATAATTTTAATATGAACCCAGAGCTCGGGGAATAATAATCGCCAACGCCAAACCCGGAGTCAAAATGATAGTGTTAGCAACCCTAAAAATGCTAATTATTTAATGTATAAACTAAAAGCGGCGATTTACGAGTCATAATTTGGGTAAGAATTAAAAATATCCGAAAGACGGGTTAAAATCTTCGCCGTTGGCAACACTGTTTGAGGGCCTCTTGGGTTAAGACAATAGAGTTACCGTATTAATGATTGTATACATTCAACAATGAAGCAGCTCTTTTTAGAAGATATTAGTACAAGGCCAGTAATTTGTAAAGAAAAATATGAAAGTCTAGGGCCAAAAAACAATAATAAAGAGAAGATAAAAATTTTAACAGCGACAGCTGACACTGACAGTTAAAACTAAAAATTTTAAAGAAAATTTTTATAATTTATGATTATGATTCTAGTGTCCCATTTCATATAAATAATCAGTAAATATAGATTTATTTAAAGTTATCGAAATGGGCTTTCTAACAGTTTTAAAGAAGATGAAACAAAAAGAGAAGGAAATGAGAATACTTCTATTGTATGTATTCATTTTCTCATTTGATATTTAATGTTTTTAAAAATAAATTTTTTAGAGGTTTGGATAATGCAGGAAAAACCACAATTTTAAAGAGATTTAATGGAGAACCTATTAATACAATATCTCCAACATTAGGATTTAACATAAAGACCCTAGAACACAAAGGGTAAATATAAATACCTAGTATAAATTCTTTGAAAATGTAGTTAATAATTAATAAATTAATTTTATTTAGATTTAAATTAAATGTGTGGGACGTTGGAGGACAAAAATCTCTAAGATCATACTGGAGAAATTATTTTGAATGTACAGATGGTCTGATATGGGTAGTAGATAGTGCTGATAAGAGAAGATTGGAAGACTGTAAGGCAGAATTAAATTTACTGTTGCAAGAGGAGGTAAAATTGAATATAGTATAATTTATAACCAACATAACATAATTTAACATAGTAAAATATACAAATATAGTATTTATAAATGTCTGTAACATATGAGTTGGGGTTTGGCTCTGGGGCCTATGGCTTTTAGGATCGAGATATTGAGACCAAACTTGATGTATGAATGACTGTTCTATTTTAGAGGTTATCAAATTATAGACTACTTTTAATATATAAGTATAAACTATGTATCTATAACTTTGAAATTTTGATATATTTAAAGAACATATTAAGTAACTATTTTAAAAGCAAAAATATAATTAAACAGAATAGTTTACCAAAGTTGTTGTTTTTCAGCAATAATAAGATTAAAATCTTCGTTTCTCGTTGCAATGCTAGACTTGATGTTCATATATGTATGTAGAAATTATCATGTCTTGTAAAGATTTTATCCCCAATAACAAACACAAAAGATTCATAAAAGTTTATGTCCATAAAAAAGTAGAATGATAGTTTACAAACAGTATTTGACCATTCATTTATTAAAAAAAGCAGTTATTACATTCTGAAGAAGTGTCTTATTGGCTGACTGTAAGGTCTTAAGTTAAAAGTTGGTAAACTTTCTATGGTACACTAAGTTCTTAAGTTACGTTACGAATATTTATAAATAAGTGTGTGTAAATTCACTATTTCATCATCATATGTTAAGTTCTTAAGTTATGTTACGCCAATTATAAATTAAGCTTTAAATGCAGTATATGATTAAAATTATTTTTCAGAGGTTATCTGGTGCAACTTTATTAGTTTTTGCAAACAAACAGGACTTACCAGGAGCTTTAGATTTGGATGGGATAAAAAATGTAAGATTTTTTGCATACAATTTCAGTTTTTTTTTTTGTTAATGAATACAATATTTTAATATGTTTTTAGATTCTTGAATTGGATAAAATAAAGACCCATCACTGGAAAATCATATCATGCAGTGCAGTCACTGGTGAAAACTTGTTGACTGGTATAGACTGGCTTATATCTGATATTGCTGCTAGAATCTTTACATTAGAGTAATATTTTTATAATAATGTTTTTATATTCGCCTATGTAACTAAATTAAAATCACGCTTTTAATGCAAAATAATTTATTTTTTATACGAAACATAGTTTATTTACAATTATTTTCTTCATCTTAAATTAAAACTAATGGGTATCCATAAATTGTAATTCAGATAATACTAATATGTTATTAGGCAATGGTTTTGGTTGAGGGGATAAGAGCGTAATTGTTTGCCTCTCATTGTCGATCATACTCCTGTAAAATAAAGATAATTTTATTAAACTACCAATAAACTATGTTAAAATTACATTTTCACAGTTCTTTCTAACCAAATCCTTTCTTAAAACGGACCTGTACTTAAGTTACTTACACACATACAAATCCAGCCACATGGGAAGATATAATATCCTCTTCATTTTCACTGAAACTAACAGCCAAAATATGATGTAATAATCCAGCATTTGGTGTCAACAATACCAATTTTGTCATATGATCATCTGCTTTCATACCAAGTGGCAAGCAAGAATCTGGTAGAGCTGGCGCCCCTACTTTGTAAATTTTTACTTCAGGAAATTTCACCTCAAATGAGTGAGGATACAGAGAGTTTTTTGGAGTTCCATAAAAATATTCACGAATTCTTTGATCCCTGGATTCTGACCTGATACTTTTGGATCTTTCTACAACCTTTAAAAAATATTTTACAATAGAAAAAATAAAAAAAAACAATAAACTTACGCCTCCACTTTTTGGCAAAAATATAATTTTAACAAATTGGGGCATGTCCCTAACTAATTCATTGTAAAGTCTCTCTTGGTCCAGCACCATGATGACATCCACTTCAAAGGCTTTGGCAGAGTCGAGAAGTTGCCTATAACCTGATCCTTTAATCCATCCACCTGTATTTATTATAACACCAGAAGAACGAGCTAAAAGTTCATGATAAAATTGAAAATATAATTTAAACATTAAATATTATAAAGATCCTTACTTTTTTTATTTACTTCCAATCTTTCCTTCACTGTATTCGCCAGCTGACTCACTACTATTTGATACAGACTAGTGTTAGGCTCTGGTGCTTTGTGACCAAAATTGTAAACCAATGGAGCTTCTTGTGAAAACCCTTCATCAATAGATGCGGGTCTTTCTATCATAAGGGCACCTAAAAATGTATAACATTTAAATAGAAGTCATTGATACTGCAAGATGTGCTATGTCAAAAAATTCAATGTGTGGCTCGTCAGAAAAAAACGTGGGACTCGTCAAAAAACAGTGGGTAGAAATACAGTTGCTGATTTTCTCGTGGATCACATCATCAGGTCTTGGCCAAATCTACATGGGACCACAACTATGAAGACTAGAAAGAAGGAGGCGAAATACATTCCCAAAAAACGGACGCTTATTGAGCTTTTACAATTGACCGCAGGGGCGCTGGTGTTGCAAGTGATGTTAAAAATACATTACTTCATATGGAAATTTTACATTTTATGAAAATAATAAAAATAAACTTGACTATTCCTAAATAAATCACAGAAAACACTGTTGTATTTATTTCTAAATAAGTCTTGCATGTTTTGATAAATTATTTAGTTTTATCTATATAAAATGCAGTAGACACCCAGTTAAATTTCATAAAAACACATTGTTTTAAAATCACATAAATAACTAAATAATTAAATTTTAATTAATTTATTATTCTCATACACGTTAATCATTACCCCCCACTGCGCTCGGGCTGATCGCGTCTGTCGGTGCAATAGGTTAATTGGATGCGAGAGGTTTCCGCGAATGCTTGCAGTTAAAAAGAGAGGTCAACAAATTTGTGAAACAGTATGCCTGCTTGAAACTACGCTATTTTTAGCATCATTTTGTGCATCGCAGAGATAAAGAGAGAGGGAAATTGATTGGTCATTCCAATGACAGTTAACACTGAGCGATGTAATGGACAATGATATAAATACTTATAAGGTTGTCTGGCGTTTGTCGTTGCCTCGTAGTTGTTGATTCTTCTATCTTGTTTTTTTGTTTTTTTTTTAATTCCCTTCTCAACCGTAATCCAGGTCTCAAATAAAAATGACATAAAAGTCAAACTAAAGGTAAGTTTATGTGATCACAGATCCCAAAAAATAAAAACTTGACAGCTACCAGCGCACAATGAGACCCGGATTGAGCAATCTATATAAAATAAATAAAAAGTTTATTCAGTCAATAGTTTTAATTTTTTATAATTTAAGCACTACATATGTTTCGGAGTTTTCCATCTTCTGGTGAAGTCCATATATTTATAAAAACATGGAGGACGAATAGTTTAATTTTTTTTTTAAATAATGCTGTTTTATAGCATGTGAAGGTGTATTAAAAAAAATGTTTTTTTTCGATTACACCTTCACAAGTATAAAGGGAGATTCGGAAATATACATGGTATTGCCTCATCCTTTAATTTTGGCCTTTCCCTTTTTATTTTGCTAACAGTACCATCAGTAAAAAAAGTATCATATTTCGAAATATCTTCTAAAAAGTGTAGCTAGCAAACATCATAATCTCTAGAAAGTGCTTTATCAGTCCTACAAATGATATGCTGCTACTGTTTTAAACGTTTAGGATCATATAAAAAACATTTACAATAACAAAATTGGGGTTCCTGTTAGGGTTGTGACTAGTTTACAATAAATATATTTAGAAATAAATAAATTATTTTACTTACACTAGGAGTTTTGACAAGACTGAATTGATTTCTCCTTGTGTTTTTTTAAGTTTTATATCTAATTTATATCCTGTTTTACAACCTAGAATGAAGTAAATCTTGTTTAGGTGTTTTTTGTCAGTCATGTGCCATGTTACTTGTACTCGGGTACTTTTTTCACATTATTTTGCTTATTTTCACTAATAATAATAATCAATATGAAAGAAATGGAACAAAATAATTACAGAACCAATTTAATATATTTCACTATTTAAATAAACAAAAAAAAATATCACCAATACAATATATTACCTAAGTGCTTCATTAAAACTTAAAAGTTGCAAAAGGACATTGACCAAAGCTCCTGTAAACCTGCAGTTCTAATAATTTAAATAGGTAATGTAATTCAATAAATTTTTCTCTTACCAATAGTTCCAGGAATCGAAATGTGCCCCTGCCCTACATCTAAATCAACAAAAATTGGCCTTCTGGTCATCCTAACTGCATAATTCAATAATATCTTAGTCACTGTTGATTTGCCAACATCGCATGGTCCTACCAGCATCGCTATAGGCCCCCTTTTGTTATCCTTTTCAGCTTCCATTCTCATAAGCTCCAACGCTGCATGACAATTTGAATATATCACCATGGGAGTCTCTTTAGCCGTGTATATCACATCTGTTTTGCCTTTAACCTCGATAACACAACCGTGCCATGTAAAAACGGCTACTTTGGCACCCGAAGTGAATTCATAGGTTTTAGCCTTAACTAACTCTGTACCGAACACTTCCGCCAAACCGCTTTTTAATGTCAGATACACTTTTTCGTTTTTTGATTCTACTTCGAAACGCAATTCGTTGTCTTGTTCAAGAACGAATTCTTGAATAACTTTTTTTTCTGTAGACATTTTAAAAACTGAGAGAAACACTAAAACAAGTAAACTAACCTAAAATCATTATAAACAACATACGTTGGTGGCCTCTGTCTATTTGGCAAACGGTTATTCTTCTTCGCTGCGGCTTCTATGAATTGCCTCTTTTTTAGTAACCACAGCGGTTCTTCGTTTTCTTAAATAATGTCTTTTATCTTTTACTACTAAAGATAACTTTTTTAGCTTCTTCTTTCTGTAAACAAAAAGGTGTCTTCCATTATATTAGATATTACGCTCTTCTCCAATCCCAAATTTTGACACTGACAGTGTGACGATTAAATAAAGAGAAAGAAATATTTTCGATTATTTGAGAAAGTAGGTAGGTGGTACGAAAGAAGGAAATTCTTTGATTTTTTGAGTGAAAAGAACGAAATCGTATGGCTTAGTTGGTCGTGGTCGATGTGTTCGTAAAAATGATTGTGTAATGGTTTTAATTGATTAATCATTAATATTTTTATCTTCACGAAATCTATAAAGTTTGTTTAGAATGTCAAGTAAGGAAAATTTGGCAAACCAAGAGCCGGATAATGAGGCCACGAACTCTGGAGGTTTGCGAAGAAGAAACTTTGTTGAATCCGCTCAGCATAAAATCGAGCAAGGTACTTTAGAAAGCCTTAGCAATCATCAAATTAAAATTATCATAAAATACCATTCATTGTACTTTTAATTTACATCTTTCCCAAACACTCTTTTTAGCCTCTCAACTTATCAGAAGAAAAATTCCATATTCGGGGCATTTTCTTGCTCCAAAAAGACTATGGTTAAAGCGAATTTTCACACCTAATTGCGATGTCGTTATTACTTTTCCACATGGAGCTAAAGACTCCTTATTAATGTGGTTATTGTCGAAGCTGAGGCAGTCTCCTGGTTTGACTGTCCATGTTCGTCACCACAACTCTACCCAATCCAGTGCTTTCTATATTACAGCTCCATTTGTAGTGTAAGTTTTATTATGTAGTTGCATGCTGTGAAAAGCAACAATAAAATAAAATTGCACTTGCTGTAGCTTAAAATGGCACCGAATTACAATTGTGGTAGAGCTAGTAGCTAGTTCTTTGCTTTCATGCTTTTGTATCTTGTGAAATTATAAAATCAGATAAGGTCTGCATGTGTAAAGAAACGTTTAATGGTAACTTATGACATCTTAAAAAATAAGAGGTTTTATATTAAAAATTCAATTTAGGTACCTACTAGGTATTATTTTTAAATGAATTAATTTTAGAAACACTGCACCATTTACCCAAAGTAGTAAAATATGTCTTGCAATAGACTTTTTCAATGACAAAATTTGTGTTTACCTATATCGCACAAAAAATATTTTAATCTTAATCTAGAGAAATTTTGTGATTAATGCAAAACCCTAAAAAATATATAAGTGCATATTGAAGTATTTTCCTCCATTTAACATTAGAAAAATACATTACAGGTTTTCTTCATCTGTAAGTCAAATAGCACCATTAATCATCTTTAAGTCGCTCTGGAGAGCCGTAGCAAATAATAATAGCCGTCCCTCCCCTCTTCAAACTCAGTCAGCTTCAGGGGTTGAAATTCACTCGTAAGTGGGTGAATTAGGGAAAGCATATATTTTTATGATCATAGATTTAAATGGGGTGAAGATAAGTAGAAGGTTGCTGTTAATATTTTTGTTGAGGGGCCTAGGGGATTGATAGTGAGTTCTGTATTTTCTCATATCCTAGAAACAATTTTAAGCATTTTCAATTAGGGTTTAGTTCAAAGCCCACTTGTATTGAAGCTCTAGACTTGAACCCTTCTCAGTTTCCATCCCATTGGGTTAATAATCTTGATGAATTCAGGTTCCAGATATTGTACCTGAAAGTACCATTACCGTTCCCATTTAAGGTTCCGGCAATGGCATATTATATGACTACAAGTTTAGTCCTCTTCTTTATATACATATTCTACATAGGAAGTCATCAGATATTCTTAAGATATTTAGGTGTCTTCTAAGGCCACAGTGGCCTGTATATAGAGTTCTTTTATGGTATTTAGTTCGTTCCTGCTAAGTATAAACAGTTGATTTTATCTGCTCTTGGATGGACTCTCTATGAATATTCTGGACTACAATCGAGGGTGATTCTAAAAGATTTAACTTCCTCTGTCATTTTAGATGTTGTTTCCATATATAAAGCTCATTCATTCCTAGCAGTTTTTTCTTGTGAATGCGACCACAGAAGTGTTTGTTAGATTTGTGGACAACTCTATTTTAGGTACCATTTTTCGACGATATTTAGAGCCTGCTTCATCCTTTCGGAAACAATGGGCCCAAAGTCATCGTGTACTGCGATGCTCATATCGTCTGCAAATGCTTGCATATATAAGGTTTTCTATCTCATAAGAGATCAACAACCACCAAGGTCCACATGAATGGAGATGAAATTCTTCCCTAGTGGCTCTATGATTAAACATGAATTCAACCCGCTGCGTACTGCAGTTTGCTACGCCACGCCCATGTATAACCCCTCCTGTGGTTTGTGTGGGTAGCGGGTAGATTTTAGACAGTCGGAGACAAAGTTCTTTGGAAATAAAACTATTCTAACAATTTATATACATATAACAATATTGTACCTTCATGGGGAAGGAAAACCTATAAAGTCAATACCTTTGCAGGTAATGGTCGGGACGTCGAGAAGCCTACAGAGTTAATACCTCTGCAGGAGAGGAGAGTCTTGCTAAGTCAATACCTTAGTTCGACTGACAAGAATTAAATTCGGAGGCATTGTGACAGGCTTCTGGTTCACCTACAGTGAATCAGGGAGTCTGTGTGGCGCTATGAAGGTGATTCCCGGTTGCTCAGGCGCCAGTTTTGGTATCGTAGTTTGGTCTGCGACCCTGTGGTACACCAGAGTGTACTCAAGGTGAACTCAGTGGAGGTAAATAATTCCAGGCGGTCACTGCTAGGTAGCCACTATACTAGAATAAATAAAAATAAAACACTTATCTCCCTTACACCTCGTACCCTACGGTACCCTGAAAGAGAACAGTTAAGAACCAGTAATAAGAGAATAGGTAATAAAATATATATTTACAAAAAAATAATGCAACGGTAATTAAATATGAACGGCTCCCTATATGCGGAAAATAAATTATTACCAATGAAAACTAATTAAATATTAACGGTTTAAAGTCTCTCTCATGTAGACATCTGGTAGTCCATAGCTTCTACAAGAGAGAAACCCTTTCCACGAGCTGTTATGAAGACTAGGGGCTGAAACAGCTCTGATTATCGACGGGGGGAAGCAAGTGAATACCGCTATCACCCCCTGATTAATGCGAAAATGGATGAAGGGTGCGAGTGCCCCCGGATTTAAATCCAATTTACTTTATTACCTTGATAGGTACTAAGGAAATTAAAAGTTCGTATTACCTTTTACTAGTACGGGAAAATATTTACGGTTCGCTAGCACAGGAGGCCAAGCGGTCCGGGATTTATGAAACTCCCTATATACGGAAAATTTATTAAAAATAAATTACTACACTCGAAAACAATTTAAATATGACCGTAATCAAATGCAAGCAAGTAAATAAAATCAAAGTTTTCGGAACGTTCTTGTATCTTAGACCAGACCGATCGAGGCTCTGGCAAATATATTGAACGAGAATGATAATTTTCAGGGCGGTGTTTGGAACAAAAATGCGATGGTTAACGTAAACATTATTATACATAGGGCTAGTTCCACCACAAAGATGCTCTGAAAGAAACTAAACTATTCACAGTACACCACAGAGCTAGAGATATACGGTGAATAGTTACGTTTTCTCAGTATGTCTGTGGTGGAACTAGCCCTGTTTCTTTTCTGTATTGTTCTCTCTTCTGTGTCCGAATAGCCGTGGTGAACGAGTGATTGGACAATCTGTAACAAGTCATTGGTCAAGCTGTGTAGCGGTAGCGTCTCATGCCTTACATACTATCTTTAAAATCACTTTGACGTCAGATAATCCTTTTTTTTACGAGGTTGGTATGACTTTGACATCAGATAGTCCATGTTGTGACGAGATTTCATTTCATCAATTACATTTTATTTTGTTGTGAAGATGGCACTTTAGAATGTTTCAGAGCGGCACATTTCTCACAGTATGTTCCTTGCCAATGTTATTGAACTTAAAAGTTCGATGTCATTGGGAAGGCGGCTTTTGTTTTTGATTTCCTTAAGAGAAGGCGAGAAAACCAGGGAAAAGAAAGTGGGCCAGAAGAAGAAAAACAAAAAGCGGGCTAACAAAAATGCTAAGAAAAACATGACGATAAAAAAATCGAAGCATTATTTTTTGATTTTTATTTAACAACCTTATTGTAAGCTGTAACGAGCGAGGAGGGAAAGGGAGGATACAAAAGGATGAAAGGGTAAAAAAAGTTCCGAACACTTACAAAAAAGTGCAAGAAGAAATATTTACTAAAACTTTGCAAATCAGGTGCTACACCTGATGAATATCACCAATATTATCACAATCTACCTGTTTCTAATAATGTTAAAGACACGGTACCTGAATCTTCCATTAAAGATAGTGACACATACATTGAATATTATGACTGGTATGCAGACAGCTAAAATAAGCTATGTGATTTTTTGTTCAATTTTAAACTTTTGAACAGCGTTTTCTCGAAACTCTTAAAATATGAGTTATCTTGTGTTTGCAGGAACCCGACGGGATATATTAATATTTGTTTTTTTTTATTAGAGGTCCCACTATCTAATTTTAAGTGAATGGCCTAAAAAAAGAGTCATCATTCAAAAATATTGCGGCCCGTATAACAACAAAAATACGAATGTGGCCCGAAGGAAAAAAAAAGTTGGAGCATGTGATACACAGGCCTGGAACCAGCTGTGTGTGTTAAGACACGAGCCACCACTGACTCGCAGTGTTTCCAATGCCTTTTTAGTCTTTTGAGCTAGCCTATGTATAGCTGTTACTGGTAGGCAAACTGGTATCAATATATCGGGTTATCCCGTAAAAAATCGTTCCGTATAGTATATCTATCGATAAATGTCTCCTAGTTTTTTTTTTTGAAATAATTTTAGGCTGATTGGTCTGAAAGATTTGGTCTCCACGTAAGACGGGGGTTGGTATTATTCTAGTTCACGTTAATGCGGTGAATCTCCAAAAGACTTCTTTTTGTCGACATTAATAAATAAAAACAATTGAGAATTAAAATCAATATTTATAATTAATTAGTAACAAACTTAAGTGACCCTATAGAATTCATTTTCTTTCCTTTTTATTAAATAACCAAAAAGCCATTCGTGTTTTATTGCTTCGAGTACCCTAAACAACTTTTTAAAACAGAGGGCGTTTAAATAGATTAATAAGTAAGTATAACAAACATACAGAAGATAATATATCGTTATTAAACCTATCATTAAATATGTCAAACGAAGTTTACAAGTCCCTCTTATTAATTTTATGGCATGTAATTTTGTCGTTTGTTGTTTTTAGTTCCTTCGAATATTTAGACGGTATGATAGGTATCTAATTATTTATCACTTTATTTCATATTTTTGGGGGAAAACCATTATTTGTAACGTATTGGTAAAAAACTTTATTAATCAATAGATTAAAGTCGCATCGCTTATTTACTATAAAAGTAAAATTATTTGATTCACTGGGGAATTTTTATGAATACGAGGGTTGTCCGCAAAATAAGGCCTACATTTTTTTTATGAAGAAAAACACGTTTATTTGCAATGAATTATATATTGGTAGAAAACCTGAACTTTCTACTATTTTTCTACATAATTCCCGTTGTGATCTATGCATTTTTGCATGCGGCATGGTTAGGGACGGGTGGGATGCTACTAGGGTTGCCATCTGTACTTTTTTGAAAAGGACAGTCCTTTTTTGAAGTAAAATGTCCTTGTTACTTTTTAAAGCTTAAAATGTCCTTTTTACGACAAGTGTCTTTTTTTACAGCACATATTTTTGGAA